TCCTCAGCTCTCATCCTCAAGTTTCCGCCTAATTTCGTTCGCCAGCTCAGCAACAAGGCTCGCCGGAACTGCGGCAACATCGGAATTGCTCAGGTCGCCGCGGCCTCTTGGGCCAACTCGCCGTCTGCCGATGAGGAATCTCTCCCTTCCGCCTGTAAAGAACACACTCTCCAAACGGAGCTCATAGGCCTGGGAATTGAAAAGTTAGATCTTCAAGGGAAAGTTGTAGTGTCAGGGTTCATTGGTTCACATGTGCATTTAGTAGCTAGTGGATTGCAGATGGGGCGAGTGGAACTTCGAGATGTCAAAAGCCAAGAAGATTTTGTACAGAAAGTCAAAGAAGCTGTTAGAGATAAAACTCGAGGTGAGTGGGTATTTCTTCAAGTGCTTCAATCTTTCAATGAGGATGAGGAACTACCGGTATCAGTTAGACAAATTTGGTTTGATTTGAGAGCTACTGATGCATTCTCTGAGAAAATTGGAGTCAGGATTTTTGGTTCTCAATTTACTTGGCACATGCTGGTCTCAGGACCCTTATTGCATTTATGGTTTAATACCGTATCAAGGTTTCTGCCAAAATTACAAGGTGAAACTGCGCCTGAGATTTTTGCCCGGTTGAAGAGAGACCTGACTCCTACATTACTAAGTGGTGTTGTATACTGGCCCATGTGTGATTTTGTCACGTTCAAATTCACCCCTGTCCACTTACAGCCTCTTGTCAGCAATTCCTTTTCATTTCTCTGGTCCATTTACATCAAATACATGGCAAGCTTAGAGGAAGCTGTTACAGGGGAATTGATTTCCAAAGTTTGCCAGTATCATCATATTTTTGGTGGTGTAATCAGTTTTGAGCTAGCTAGAGGCTTGTTAGAGACCGTAAGGTTTCCTACATTTGACCTTGAGACAAGGTCCAAATTAAGGGGAGGGAATTGTCAGGACCTGATGAACAACCCTGTCAATTGCGCCAAAGACCTCGAAAGCTTGAAGACTGATGGCTTGAGAAGCTGGGGACTGATACACAAAGTGGCCTGATACGCAAAGCCTAGGGAGCTATCTGCAAGCACTTATAATTACTGAGGTCCTATATGAAATGTCCAGCTCAACAACTGTATAACTGTTTCTGTTTTCTGTTTGTTTTCTGTTGTGGGCTGTGTGCTGTTTGTGCACGTGCGCAAACTTCAACTCAGAGGTTAGCTTGTATAAATAGGGAATTGTACAATTGAGTATGATATGAATGAAATTAGAGCTCTGTTCTTCTTCTCAACTCAACCCCTGTCTTCATTCTCTCTCAATTCTCCCAATTCTTTCTATCACCATTTCCCTTAAGTTTGTTTCAGGCTCATCATGGCCAGAATCATCCCCAAAGGAACCAATCGAGGATTCAGTCCCTCACAATTGGTATCAGAGCAAAGGAGGGTTCAGATGGAAGATGCTCTCCTTCAACAAAGCTTCATCGCTCAACAACTATCAACAAAGATGGAAGAATTTTCTTCTCAATTGTCTTCTCAACTGAATTCTCAGTTTCAGAATTTTGTCCAAGAATTCAAGAACTTCAAGAATCCATCACTCGACAAGATGTCAGAGCCATCCAAAGTTCTTCAGGAGAGTGCAGATCAGGATTCTCCATCCAATCGAGTCCTCTTCGTCACCATTCACACAATGATCTATCCTATAACGAAGGAAGTGTTGCATCAAGTGTTTTCTCCATATGGGTTTGTAGAGAAGATCGTCACAGTTGGCTTTCAAGCTCTTATCCAATTCCAATCACAACAAAATGCGGTCGAAGCAATGAATTCTCTACAAGGGCGCTGCATTTATGATGGTTGTTGTCGACTAGCCATACAATTTTCTTACCTCAATGATCTCGGCAAGGAGCAGGTTACCAAAAGAATCCATAGAGGTTCCAAGAATCTTGGCCAAGAAATCTTGGGGTCGGGACCAAAGGATGATCATCAAACCTATTCCAAGAACATTTCTGTTGCTTCCCCAGCCTCTGTTGAGAATCCTTCAAATTTTGCAAGAAACAAAGGAAGATGGCCACCTGGGTCAAAGGCAAGTGCGAAGAGTACTGATGTTGATGCTAAAGCTCAGCCACCTGTTTCTGCATCTGCACAGACAGAAACTTCAGGAAGGAAATGGAAGTCACATATAAAGCAGCAAAAGGAACAAGACACTGCAGGAAAATATATAGATGGAGAACAAACTTTGAAGGACATGGATTCTTCACTGAGGTCTACTTCAAAGGCACCTAGTGTAGATCAAGCCGATTTGGATGATAGTGTCAAGCTAAGGTCTGGAAGGAAGCACCCTCTCAAGACAGAAGATATATCTCATACTCCTGATAACAAAAAGAAACAGGATGCAAGCCTTGTTGGTTCCAGTAGCACTTCCAACCCTACCCCCAATCAAGGAAGTAAACAGTTTTTGCCTAACATGGTTACAACAGATGGTGAATCAAGAGCACAATTGGGTGTTCTGAAGGAAAAGTTCAGTCTTGAGCTTAGAGGCATGCAGATCTCCAAGAAGTCCACTCCAAGCGTAAGAGCGATGCAGTCGCTTAGGGAAAAGTTACCAGCAAATAAGGTTAAAGAGGAGTTTCTAAAAGCTGTGGCAGAAAATCAGGTATTGGTCGAGGTTTCGAGAAGAGGAGTATCTCCTTCTATTTACCTTTCACCCCCGAGAAGGCGGAAAAAACCAAAGCTCAAGAAACCGCCATGGCCATCCTCAAACAAGAGAGAGCCAAAGCACAAGAAACGACCATGGCCAATCTCAAGCAAGAAAAATCCAAAGCTCAAGAACCCACCGTGGCCAATCTCAAGCAAGAAGAAAAAAACCAACAAGAAACTGCCAGTTTCGAACGTTTCAGCCATGGCCAGCAACACAGTTTCAGCCATGGCCGGCAACAGAGCCAAGAGAATCAGCAGAGGATTGAGATCCTCAGCTCTCATCCTCAAGTTTCCGCCTAATTTCGTTCGCCAGCTCAGCAACAAGGCTCGCCGGAACTGCGGCAACATTGGAATTGCTCAGGTCGCCGCGACCTCTTGGGCCAACTCGCCGTCTGCCGATGAGGAATCTCTCCCTTCCACCTGTAAAGAACACACTCTGCAAACGGAGCACTAAGTGGTGTTGTATACTGGCCCATGTGTGATTTTGTCACGTTCAAATTCACCCCTGTCCACTTACAGCCTCTTGTCAGCAATTCCTTTTCATTTCTCTGGTCCATTTACATCAAATACATGGCAAGCTTAGAGGAAGCTGTTACAGGGGAATTGATTTCCAAAGTTTGCCAGTATCATCATATTTTTGGTGGTGTAATCAGTTTTGAGCTAGCTAGAGGCTTGTTAGAGACCGTAAGGTTTCCTACATTTGACCTTGAGACAAGGTCCAAATTAAGGGGAGGGAATTGTCAGGACCTGATGAACAACCCTGTCAATTGCGCCAAAGACCTCGAAAGCTTGAAGACTGATGGCTTGAGAAGCTGGGGACTGATACACAAAGTGGCCTGATACGCAAAGCCTAGGGAGCTATCTGCAAGCACTTATAATTACTGAGGTCCTATATGAAATGTCCAGCTCAACAACTGTATAACTGTTTCTGTTTTCTGTTTGTTTTCTGTTGTGGGCTGTGTGCTGTTTGTGCACGTGCGCAAACTTCAACTCAGAGGTTAGCTTGTATAAATAGGGAATTGTACAATTGAGTATGATATGAATGAAATTAGAGCTCTGTTCTTCTTCTCAACTCAACCCCTGTCTTCATTCTCTCTCAATTCTCCCAATTCTTTCTATCACCATTTCCCTTAAGTTTGTTTCAGGCTCATCATGGCCAGAATCATCCCCAAAGGAACCAATCGAGGATTCAGTCCCTCACACCGCCCTCGAGGCCGCCATGAGACCGACTCAGGTATTGAATCTCTCCTGCAGTTTGAAACCCTAGACCGATCTGATTCTCGTTCTGTTAGGGTTTGTTGAAGTGAATTAGGGTTTTGATTTTGGATCAGGTTCGGACGCACGAATCTCTCCCTTCCGCCTGTAAAGAACACACTCTCCAAACGGAGCTCATAGGCCTGGGAATTGAAAAGTTAGATCTTCAAGGGAAAGTTGTAGTGTCAGGGTTCATTGGTTCACATGTGCATTTAGTAGCTAGTGGATTGCAGATGGGGCGAGTGGAACTTCGAGATGTCAAAAGCCAAGAAGATTTTGTACAGAAAGTCAAAGAAGCTGTTAGAGATAAAACTCGAGGTGAGTGGGTATTTCTTCAAGTGCTTCAATCTTTCAATGAGGATGAGGAACTACCGGTATCAGTTAGACAAATTTGGTTTGATTTGAGAGCTACTGATGCATTCTCTGAGAAAATTGAAGTCTGGATTTTTGGTTCTCAATCCACTTGGCATATGCTTGTTTTAGAGTTGATACAGGAGTTGCGAACAGTTGTCCTTGGTGGGAGTTTTTATAAGCAGCTTATCGATATTTCACAAAAAGCTAGCAGAATTTATGAAAACAATTTTGGTAGAAAAAACTCAAGTATTGCGGAGCCCTGGAAGCCTATCAATCTTAAGGCAGCATATTATCCTGAAGCTGTAATGATCTGTGTGAATGAGGAGCGGATAAATGGAAAGAAAGTTTATTGCAAAGTCAGCAATGTAGTAGAAAAAGCTAGAAAGCATCTTTTAGCTCTTGGCTGGAAGATTGAAACTAGACAAACGGAAACAATTGTAAGGGTTCATTATATTTCACCTGAGGGGAAATGCTATCATTCTCTTCGCAAAGCTTGTTGTTCTTTGCTGCAAGGTCATCCAAAGTGCGCAAAGCCTAGGGAGCTATCTGCAAGCACTTATAATTACTGAGGTCCTATATGAAATGTCCAGCTCAACAACTGTATAACTGTTTCTGTTTTCTGTTTGTTTTCTGTTGTGGGCTGTGTGCTGTTTGTGCACGTGCGCAAACTTCAACTCAGAGGTTAGCTTGTATAAATAGGGAATTGTACAATTGAGTATGATATGAATGAAATTAGAGCTCTGTTCTTCTTCTCAACTCAACCCCTGTCTTCATTCTCTCTCAATTCTCCCAATTCTTTCTATCACCATTTCCCTTAAGTTTGTTTCAGGCTCATCATGGCCAGAATCATCCCCAAAGGAACCAATCGAGGATTCAGTCCCTCACACCGCCCTCGAGGCCGCCATGAGACCGACTCAGGTATTGAATCTCTCCTGCAGTTTGAAACCCTAGACCGATCTGATTCTCGTTCTGTTAGGGTTTGTTGAAGTGAATTAGGGTTTTGATTTTGGATCAGGTTCGGACGCACGCGATTCGGAGGGCGCATGAGAATATTGATAAGACGCTTAAGTCGGCTAAGGTTATTCTCGGTCAGTTTGATCTCACGCGTCAGGTTCGTAGAATTTTTGCTTGAAATTTGAGTTTTATTGTTTTTTTAAAAAAATCTGAACATTAATCCTAGATTAGACCTTTTTTGTCAATGTGAAACTGAAATTTTCTTTTGAATTTCATGCTGTACATGTTGTTGGTTATGTTGTTGGGTTTAATTATGTGGTGAATTTTGAAGTAGAGTTGTGGAGTGGAAATTTCTCATTTTGATGAATGGGAGTTTATGTAGTGGGTTTATTAATATTTGCGTCTATAATTTTAGGATTTTGAAAGATGTGGTTCATGAAGATATGGAAAGTTAGTTGTAAAAAAAAATACTTGAAATTGAGGTCTTCAAGAAGAGGTAAACAGTAGATCAGAGTGGATTTGCGAAATTGGGCTACGACAACAACCTCAACACATTAAAACCTTTATCCCAACCTTTTGGATTCGTCTACACGAATCATTTCCTTCTAGTCAGCTATTATGAGTCATCTCTCTGTTAACTATTGTCATCTCGTTCTTAAATTATTTGCTTTGAATCAAATTCTTCAAGCCTATCTCTGGTCCTCTTTGCCTCAATAATTATAATATAATAACGTCTCCTAACTGGTTCATTTAACGGCCTAATTGTCAAAAGTCATGTTCTATGTGGTGTTTCCCAGCTCAGTTAGGCTTATTTTTGTGTAAAGTCTCAGGGTAGTGATTAGTTTGTTCTTGAAATGTGTAGGCTGAGTCTAAGATTTTGAAGGGTCCACATGAGGATCTTGAAAGCTACTTGGAGGCGATCGATCAGTTGAGGGCTAATGTACGATTCTTTAACTCCAACAAAAGCTTGAAGAGCAGTGATGGGCTGCTTAATCATGCCAACAATAATGTACGATTCTTTAACTCCAACAAAAGCTTGAAGAGCAGTGATGGGCTGCTTAATCATGCCAACAATATGCTAATGCTCGAGTTTATTTCAGATGGGAACTCTCAGCAGCAGACATACTTCCTACATACATGAAGTGTTGTTACATAGCCTTGTACGACATCACGAATGAAATTGCCCAATATGTATTCAAGGAACAAGGATGGAACCCTATCGACTCTATAAAAAAAGTAGTAAGTACTTTAATGAGTAGACCTTAAAGCATTTATATTTGTTAATTTATAAAATTTAACATATATATTACCTCTCTCATTGGTCAGTGGACAAGGTTATGCAATGCATTTCTATTGGAATCAAGGTGGCTGCGATCAAAGCAACTTCCAAAATCTGATGAGTACCTCAAAAATGCCATTGTGAGTTCAGGAAGACCATGCAATAATTTATGACCGATCTTAATTTTCTAATAAATAATTAAGATATCTTAAATCATTGACTTTCGACAATATAGGACTTAGTGCTGACCATTCTGAGAGATTATAGTACCCATATAAGAATGATGCTATTTATAACTTACCTGACCAATATAAAGAACCATTGAGTTGGCACTTTTTGTAGTTATCGCATAAGCTTAGCACATGTAATCAATATAAGAATTATGCATTTATGATACTAGTTATTACTTTTTGCTATTACATTGAATATCTTTCCTATCTTGGCTATTAATCTCAATGCATGAAGCTGAACTTTAATACGGGAAGGATGCACAGGTATGCTAGAGGAAGGATGCTTGGATGGGGAGGGAATGTAGCGGCCGCAAGAGAGATGCCACTGAAACATTTCAACACTGAAATTTCTGAGGCGAGTTGCAGCCAATTCAACACTAATCAAGCTCACTCTGCTACTGATGAATTGGCAGTTCAAGGACAATCTACAGTCAAAACTGTGAGCCTATTACACGAAGGGTTCAATGACAATTTTGAATGTTTTTTATATCCAAGATGTCATGTTTGTGTGCCAAAGTTTGGTTTATTTTGGAAGTGTTAAGTGCTATGTTTGTGCACCAAAACTTTATATATTTTGTGTTTGTGAGACACTCATGTAATTGTTCACGCTTCTCATGTGCACCAATTTTGTAGATTGTAGTTTGTTAGTGCTTGAATTTATGATACAAGTTGTCAATGATTGTTACGTGAACAAATATTTTTGTGGTATATGCAACAGGTTGACTTGGGAAACTATTGAACTAGCATGTTTATATGGTTGATGTTTGTAAACAATTTGGGATGTTGTCTATGTTTAATTGAAACCTCAGCACATTTTTGCACCAACGGGTGGAACCGTTGGTGCAAACATCAGCACCAACCGTTGGTGCAAACATCAGCACCAACGGTTGGAACCATTGGTGTTGATGTGCGCACCAACGGTTCCACCCGTTGGTACAGTTTTTTTTATATTTTAAAAATTAAAATGAAAAAAATATCAGCACCAACGGTTGGAACCGTTGGCGCTACGAAAAGAACCATTGGGGCAAACTTTGTCCTAACGCAATTTGTGCCAACGGTTTTTTTTTTTTTGCCCCAACGGTTTCAATCGTTAGGGACAATATCTATCCCAACGGTTTGAACCGTTGTTTCTACTAGTGAGAATGTGCAAGAGGGTCACTTCGTACTTAAAATGTCAAATTCAGCCAAAGAGTGAGCTAACAAATCTACAAATATATTATGGGAGCACGGGAACATACACATACCATATAAGTATCATAAGCGCAACTCTCATCTGTTAGGATCCTCTAAACTTGGCTGAAATGAAAATAAGATCATAGAGGGAAGCTGGGTGAGACAGATATGCATGAGCAGAAGAGAAATTAAAGGGAAGAAGGTCGAAGCCTCGAGTCTGCTTAATGCGAGGATAAAGTTTAAGCAATATATCATATGAGAGGTAATAAACTCAATCAAATCTACTTAATGATGTGATACAGGAGATCAAGCATTGGATGAGACAAGAAGAAAAGCATCCGTGTCGACTCGGACTTCAGATTAGGAAAGAGTCCTTTTGATTATTTCCTTTTTGATTAACAGTTCTTTTGGTTATTTCCTTTTTGATTAAAAAATAGTTTTTTTGGTTATTTTCTTTTAGATTAGGAAAGAGTTCCTTTTTGGTTATTTCCTTTTAGATTCAGACTTTCTTTTTTATTAGAGTTAGCATAGATTTAGTTGGCTATAAATAATAGTTCCATTTGTAAATCAAGTAATTAACTTTCAATTATTCTATCAAGAGGATTGTTCTCCATTGTTTTTCTTCTCAAGTTTGAGAACCTAGGGCTTGTGGATTCAAGCTTGTTTTCTACCTGCTATTGTCAGGGCTCGTCGACATCGGAACGATATCCGATCGGCCTCCTCGTTTCTACGTCTGCGTCAAGTGGTATCAGAGCTTCGGCTTCAACATCCTCGACAACGGCAGGTAACGACGCGTCAAGTGGTATCAGAGCTTCGGCTTCAACATCCTCGACAACGGCAGGTAACGACGAGAAGGACCTTTCTCTACAAGATCTTTCTGCAAGGATGAATTCTATGGATGAAAGATTTGGCACGTTGGAGGTGTCTCTTCAGAACCTTCAACAAGTCATTGAAGGACTTACCCTTCATTTCAACAATGGGAATAATTTCGCCGATGGTCTTCACCTAAGCGAACCGAGAGTTAGGCTATCCCGACATCCAACCCTGTATAATCCCCAACCCCCTCCAGTTCATCCCCCTCCATATCAATCACGTCCAAACCAAATCCCTCCATATCAGCCCCGACCTTATGGCAGAGGTCAAGGCAGAAGCTTCAACCATCGTCGGAACTATCATCGACAAGGCAGACATCACCATGACCAAGAGTACCAGATGAAGGTGGAACTCCCCTCCTTTGGAAGAAATCTGGACTTAGAGGTTTTCTTGGATTGACTATATGAAGTGGAGAAGTTCTTTGAGATGGCTAATATACCGAAGCAAATCAAGTGAAGTTTGTGACATATCGTCTCAAAGGAGGAGTCGCGGCATGGTGAGATCAAACTCAAAACACTAGGCGACCAAGAGTCTGCTAATGCAAGGATAAAGTTTAAGCAATATATCATATGAGAGGTAATAAACTCAATCAAATCTGCTAAATGATGAAAAGAAGTGGTTTAAGCCTCAAGTCAGAATGAGATCTGATTGTGCTCGCCTACATTCAAAAAGATGCATGCAGTTGTCTGAGGACACCTCACGAGGAGGCAGCATCGTCAAGGTCTAGTAAGGAGGAGGTGCGGGTGGAGACAAAGTTGACTTTGCCCACTGAAGTCAATGTCAAAGGCGTTGTCAAAGAATATGCTATGAAAATGAATAATAATTTCCAGTTACTTCTTGCGTGGGATCTGGCGGAGGCGGGGAACTGTAAAAACGGCGAAGAAATTGTGAAAAACATGAAGAAAAACCCAAAACAGACTCCACTACACCCTGGTGTGGTGTCTGCCATGGGTGTGACAGAATCTGCCTTGTCTGCCATGGGTGTGGTCTACGCCACACCCTGGTGTGGCAGAATCTGTCCTGTCTGCCATGGGTGTGGTCTGCGCCACACCCTGGTGTGGCAGACTCGTTTTTAGAATCCTCCTTTGTTTGGGAATCCTCCTTTGTTTGGGATTGTGTTTTATTATAAATAGGACCACGTTTTTTAGGGTTTCTTAAGGAGAGAAAAGGAGAGAATTAGCATTGTTTTGAGCACTTTGAGAGGGAGATATTGTGAGGGAGTTGAGAGCTTTAGTTAGGGTTATATTTGAGTGATTTTGTGAGTTGTAACTAGTTGTATTTCTCCTCCATATAGTGAAATCTCCCCATCCTCTCCCCGTGGATGTAGGCAATTGCCGAACCACGTAAATCTTTGTGTTTGGTTTGATTTGTATCGTATTTTGGTGAATTGCACTCGTGATTTGGTTTGGTTTTCTTCTCTCATCACTCATCGACTCGTTTGGTTGTCGAGCACGCTTCCGCACGGCGCGCAACAAGTGGTATCAGAGCTCGGGCTACGCTTGGGCTATTTGGAGGAGTAGATCAATTTGGAGGCTCGTCTAAGGCTTCGTTTGGTGATAAAGGTGGGATCTTTTGGTAAAGACTCTATCTTTTTAGTTTGGATTTATTCTTCGTTCGTTGGTGCGTTGAGAAAGGATGTCGGGAAAAGAAGGTGCTTCGGGTGTCGAGGGTGGTGCTTCTGGCGCGAAGACCATTCAGAGTTTGAATATCCACTCTATGAAGATAGATGTGGAGAAGTTTAATGGCACAAACAATTTTGAATTATGGAGATGCGAGGTTTTGGATGCGTTGAACGCGCAGAATTTGGAGGATGCATTGGAGTTAGATGGCAAGCCAGATGAGATTGAAGAGAAGGTTTAGAAGAAGATGAATCGAACGGCGTGTGGTGTGATTAGGTATTGTTTGACTCAAGATCTAAAATATGATGTGATGAATGAGACTTCTGCAAAGAAGATTTGGGAGATTCTCGAAAGAAAGTATCTGACAAAGAGTGTTGAGAACCGCTTGCATTTGAAGAGGAGACTATATCGTTTTCAGTTGAAGAAGGGAACCTCCATTAGAGATCACATGAACCACTACACAAAGCTTCTTGCGGATTTGGCGAATGTGGATGTCATGATTGAAAATGAGGACAAGGCGTTGCTGTTGTTGAGTTCCTTGCCCGACGAGGAATATGAGACCTTCGTCATTACTTTGATTAATGGTAAGGCAACTCTTTCGTATAGTGAGGTCACTGCTGTACTTGTGAATTATCAGCTTCAAAAGAAGGATAAGGAGGCTTCAGTTGAGCCGGTAGCGGAGGCATTGATCGCAAGAGGGAAGGGTCCAAACCGAAAGAATTGGAAGTCACAGTCTAGAGTAGGACATCCTACAATTGGAAAAGATCAGTGTGCTTGGTGCAAGGAGACTGGTCATTGGAAGAAAGACTACCCAAAGCTCGACGAATGGATGAAGAATAAGCATAAGGGAAAAGGGAAGCAACCATCATCAAAAGCAAACATCGTATCGGATGGTAATAATTCTGACTCTTCTATTTATTCGCTTTCTATCAGTCCTACAGATAGCTATTCGAAGGAATCTGAATGGATGTTAGATAGTGGTGCGACCTATCATGTGTGCCCTAGAAGGGAATGGTTCTCCAGTTTTGAGAAGCTGGATAGTGGTGTGGTGTACATGGCTGATAACCGTGCATGCCAGATCCTTGGGATAGGAAGAATTCGCATCAAAATGTTTGACGGGGCTGTTAGAGAGTTAAATGATGTGAGATATGTTCATTCTTTGAGGAAGAACTTGATCTCAATTAGAGCTTTGGTTGGAGAGGGTCTGAATGTTCGAATTGAGGACATGGTTCTCAAGATTGTGGAAGACTCTCAGATTGTGATGAAGGGCGTCAAGAGGAATAACCTGTATTACTTGACTGGAGGTATAGTGGCAGGTGGAGAACTGACGACTTCTGTTGATTCGACTAGACTGCGGCATTTGGGGCTTGGCCATTCCAATATTGATTCATCGCATAGATTGAAAGAGGGTGTAAAGACCTGCAATTTAAAGTCCAGTGAACATGTTGATGTGAGCAAGAAGACCGAGGTGAAGTGTGGCACCTCTATTCACCGTGCTAATGGTCGTTCTAAAGGAGTTTACGTGGATGTTTGGGGGCCTTCCAAGTGGGCATCATTGGGAGGTAATAGGCGTTTGGTTTCCTTTGTTGGTGACTGTTCTAGGCGTGTTTGGGTTGTAACCAAATCCCCTTTGGAGAAAGTCCTAGTAGTATCTAACAGATTGAAGAAGTGTGTGATAGGCAGAAAGGTGAAGGTACTCCATTCTGATTTTGATGGGAGGTAAAAGATGGACCTGTTTTTGCATTGGAGCAGAGCTCACGGCATTTCGAGACACTTCGTTGGAAAGAAAATCTTGGGGCAGTTAGACAGGGTGACAAATTTGGAGAACCGTGCCTTGCTGAAGGAGGATCGGTGTTTGTTGTCAAACAATAGTTTGCAGAAGAGATTTTGGACCGAGGCTTCGACATATTTGGGTCATCCTATTAAAGAGTTGTCAACTGCTGTAATTGGAGGTAAAGCTCCATTGGAAGATAGGTCTGGTAGTGTCACTTTGGTTGAGGCTTCGATGATGGAGCTATTTGACTCTCAGCAGGTGAAGAGTTTTAGACAGACCTTAGATGTATCGCAGCGGGTGGAGTTTGATGCTACTCCACATTGGGTGAAGATTACTCCAGATCATACTGTATTATTTGGGATTCCAGCTGAGGTGACACAGCTTAGGGATCATTTGGATTTAGGTGCAGATGATGAGTTGGGTTCTGATTCGAATGCAGCTGATAGATGCAGTTTGGATATGGCCATTGGTTCACCTCAAGTGGAGGTGTTTGAGGCCATTGGAGGTGCTATCAGCCGCAGAGTTGATGATATTAGAGAAGGGTTGCGAACTCTTCTATTGGTTTGAGTTCATTCGCGGCCATTTGGATGAACTACGGGCGACTTAATCCCTTGGGAGAGGGGGTACGTAGGCAACCATATTGGTGCAGCCGAGTTTGGAGAGACGACACATTGGTGCTCATGTTTGTGTCGGCTCAGTATTGGGAACACTTCGCCGAGGTGGAGAATTATGAAAACGGCGAAGAAATTATGAAAAACGTGAAGAAAAACCCAAAACAGACTCCACCACACCCTGGTGTGGTGTCTGCCATGGGTATGGCAGAATCTGCCTTGTCTGCCATGGGTGTGGTTTGCGCCACACCCTGGTGTGGCAGAATCTGCCCTGTTTACCATGAGTGTGGTCTGCGCCACACCCTGGTGTGGCAGACTCGTTTTTAGAATCCTCTTTTGTTTGGGAATCCTCCTTTGTTTGGGATTGTGTTTTATTATAAATAGGACCACGTTTTTTAGGATTTCTTAAGGAGAGAAAAGGAGAGAATTAGCATTGTTTTGAGCACTTTGAGAGGGAGATATTGTGAGGGAGTTAAGAGCTTTGGTTAGAGTTATATTTGAGTGATTTTGTGAGTTGTATCCCGTTGTATTTCTCCTCCATATAGTGAAATCTCCCCATCCTCTCCCCGTGGACGTAGGCAATTGCCGAACCACGTAAATCCTTGTGTTTGGTTTGATTTGTGTCGTATTTTGGTGAATTGCACTCGTGATTTGGTTTGGTTTTCTTCTCTCATCACTCACCGACTCGTTTGGTTGTCGAGCACGCTTCCGCACGGCGCGCAACAAGAACTACTAAGGGAAAGATAAAATTAGGATTTATTTAATTGAAGGGTGGGGATATAACGTGGGGTTTGTATACGATGCTAGCCGCTAGGATCACAAGTGGATTTGAAGATAAGTCAACTTATATGCCTTTAAAACTCACACGCAAAATAGAAAAGACAACTCTCATCCTAAAAATATCTCTTACAGAAATGTTTTCATAAATCATAAAACTATCATCTCCCTTTCATCTGAGGCTTAATTTACTAGTAAAAAACAGAGTATCCTATAGACGTAAAATTCCGTCTAGGAAAGTCAAATTTTCATCTAAAAAGACTATCCTAGACAGAATTTCGTCTAGGATGTTGGTCTAGTAAAATTCAGTCTAGGATGCAGTATCCTAGAAGGAATTTCCATCTAGAAAGTATCCTAGATGGAATATCCTAGATGAAAATGAATTCCGTCTAGTTTGCATTCTAGACGGAAATTCCGTCTAGGATACTTAATATCCTAGACGGAAATGAATTTTGTCTAGGATGCATCCTAGACGAAAATCCCGTTGGACGGATAGTAGGTATCCTTTCTATGATACTTATGCTACAGTATTTTTTTTTTTTTTTTCTGCTGCTGCATTGAAAACAATGGGTAAGCTTGAAAACAAATAAATTCAAACACATTCTAGTCCATTTCAAAAGTTAAACATTAATGGTTTGTTTTGTATACAACAAACATGCAGTTTGGCAATACAACATATCTATATAAATAATATAGTGCAAGCAATATGTCAACATGGATTTAAAATAGGAGCTCAGTTTGTCGACAATAGCATTTTCACTTCGAAAGAAAGATAGCAATCCAAAGTAGAACAATGAGCCCTAAACCAACAAGAGGCCTACCAAGCATATTACACAATTTCTCTTCTTCCTTATCTTGAACTTGATTTGGTGAACGGTATGTCGCCTCCACTATATACCTAGAGATATCGGCTTCAGACAAACCTGTGCTTAGATTCCCAATCCTCTCTTCCAAAGCAAGCAGTACCTGCACCAACCAAGCAACTAGTATTTATAATATACTTACTGTACTGATGGTAATAAATATATTGGTGGGCCTTGTCACCTATGCTGTGTGTGACTGTGTGCTTATGTGTGTATACATACCTGTATATATTACATACATACATATACATATATATACGTACAGATACTTGCAAACATGCACCATCATGTACACGTGCACATGCATTCGTTGGAGTCACTTAGAGGGCAGGCAGGCATGTGCATGAGTGAGTATGATGCTCTAATGAAATTTAGAATGAGTTTACTAGCTTAGTTCTCTCCAACAAAACTAACATTCTTTACTATAATATTTCAAATTCCTTTTATGAGGACAAAGCTACTGACTAAAGCAACTTTTATAGAGGTCAAGTGACCAATGATATATATGAAGCCTGATTGATATATACAAAGCCACTAAACCACAGAATTTTGGGCATTTTACCACTCTGTGTAACAATATGAACATGATTGATATTTATGCCTCAACTTTGAGGAGGGATGTTAGAATAAGTATTTTAGTCATGCATTACATTCACGTCTTGTTAAGTACTATAGAATAGAAAGCAGCTAAATAAAGCTGAAAGTGTGAGATGTAGTGTAGCAACTAGCATGGAATGGAGACAACATTTGCACGTAAATATACCAAACCAAAGATAGCAAAGTTATCATATAAGAAATAAGATTTTCAACAACTTACTTAGCATTCTTGAACTGATAGTAATACGATAAAAAACAGATAATGAAAATATGATATATTTACTTACCTGTAGAATAGAATCTATACCAAAGTCACTTCTCCACTGGAGCATGTCTGACCACACATGAGTTGCTTTGTCAACATTATACCCTCTTGCCTTCAGAAATCTTTAAAAAAAACCAATTAAAACGTCTAAATTATGTTTAACCACCAATATATATATATATTACCATAAGCACATAGTCACACACATAAGCACACAGTCACACATAAGCAGTACCTTGCTTGTAACAACTACATAAACTCAGGTGCATTGTATGGAAAATAAAACATCCTTCATTTTCAATAGAATGATCTGTAAAATGAAACATACACTAGATGTTCTGTACGCAACCGAGTCACATTCTTCAGCTTAGGCATACAATAGTGCAACTTAATTAATTATCATATACTGGTAAGCATTTCAATGAAATTATTGTTTAAAGTGTATAGCATACCTGGCAAATGAACATGCAAAAGTGTTTGCACTCTCCTCTCATTGGGCAAGCATTACAATTTGGCTTGCTCTTTGTACAAAAAACCTGTATGAAGCATCATTATCAGTTACTAGTAGAACATATGGAAATCAGACAAAATGAACATATAGCATAAACAAAGAAAAACATGCTACCCACAGAATTCATTTGGTTACCAAGAGCTTATCCATCTACTGAATCTGTAAAACATAGCAACATGACTCCGTTAGATGGGCAAACATACAATTGTTTTATTCAAAAATATTAAGCAAGAGTCATGTGTCCTCTTTCACTTTAGTTTGTATAACACTTTGATTATCAAAGTGTCATAACCTTAAGCAAGAGTCATGTGTCCTCTTTCACTTTAGTTTGTATAACACTTTGATTATCAAAGTGTCATAACCTGATTCCTCTTTTGAGATCATTTTGTGTCATTAGTTTGTATAACACTTTGATTATCAAAGTGTCATAACCTGATTCCTCTTTTGAGATCATTTTGTGTCATACATGTAGGGATACCCTCACAAGGAATCTTGATATGTTATTGACAATCTACAAATTCATATATTACATTCTAAAACACATGTTTGGCCTCCACATGCTTATGAAGAAGAAAGCATACAATTTAGGTGTTCTTGCACATCCACCAAACGGTCTTGTTTAAGAAACCATTCAAATTAACATTCACCATCTCGTCTTGTTTAAGAAACCATTCAAATTGCACTTGTATCGACAAATGGTCTCTAAACTGCTTGATTTAAATCACAAGCTGTGTAAAGACCATTAAAATCATGAAGAAAACTATACATCTGCCATTAAAAAAGGTGCATGCAACATTTTCAAGCGTAAATTGTAAAGTCCATATGAGCACGCCATCATGAATCAATAAAAGGTAGCAAAGCGCTTATGAATTTGCATAATTCTTTAAAAATGCTAAGATCACCTTGGGAAATAAATTCAAAGTCATTAATTGCTTCCCCTCAACCGAAGCAATAATTATCAGCAAACAACAAAAGCTATATCAGTCAATTAAACTCTTTCACACTTCCCTCCAAATCTTTCCAAAAATAGAAACATAACACTTCAAAACTTTGGGTTTTCTCTAGATTTGTAACCAAAGCAAGATCTTGGTAGGAGAGAGAATCTAAGGACAAACACAATATCTAAATGGTAATGAAGAGGAATATGGAGATAATAAGTAACTAATCGATGTAAAGTATATAAATTCACTTCAAATTTAAACCCAGAGTAAAAGAGAATATAAACAACAGGGCATTGATCTGAACATGCTTAAACTAATATTAAGATTGTCATACATACATCAAACCGAAAAATTATTCAGACCCAAACTAGGTATACCCATCTAAACCACAAACTAAACATTGAAAGGATTAAAAAACTCATCTTTTTAAGCCTCCTGCGGATCCAGAGCCGGGTTCGTGATCTCACCCGAGCCCGCACCCGAATCGAACCCATCAAGAAAGTTCAAATCCCCAAACTGCCCACTCGACTGCAACAGCGAGTTGAAGCTCCCGCTGATCTCCAGCATTTTATCATCCGGGTCGGTTGCTAGGGGGTAGATGGTGGCGGGCACGGGTTCGGGTTCATTTGAGAAGCGGGCTACACGGATCCGAGTGGGACGCTTGTGTGTGTGTGTGTGTTGGTGGGGGGGGGATGGGGGGTGGTGGTTAGGGGTTAGGGCGGAGGCTGAGGCGCCTGGAGTCTTATAGGGCCCACCGCTGATGGGGATGTGCGGGAGGGACGCCCTTGGCTGGAGGCGTGGAGGACTTGAAGGGCGAGGAATGGATCGGGCGGGTAATAGGGAAGGTGGAGAAGCTTGAGGACGGGAGGAGAGGATGTAGGAGTTCATAAATGGGGTCCCGGTGAGGAAAAGGAGAGGAGGCGGGAGAGGTGTGGAGGCCGTGGGGCAAGGAGGGAGTAGAGGAGGAGGGAGGGGTCGCGGTGAGGAGGGAGAGGGAGAGGGAGAGGAGGGGAGGCGGTGGAGGGAGGAGTAGGATTTGGGAACGAAATTTTGGGAATAAAATTTGGAAAGGCCAGGTTTGAGAATTTAGGTGGGGAAACAAAATTTTGGGAGGGATGAGCACACCCTTGTGGGACAAAACATCCAAGACGGAAAATTTCCGTCTAGGATGTATCCTATACGAAAAATTTTCATCTAGGATGCTAGCTTCATTTAAAAAAAATAAAAATACTAAAATCATCTAGGATGCTATTATAGACGGAAATTTTTGTCTAGAATATTTTTTCCTAGACGGAATATCCTAGACAGAAATTTTTCGTCTAAATTAACAGTAAACTAGACGGAAAAAATTCCGTCTAAGATATTCCGTCTAGGATATGGAATTTTCTACTAGTGATTTATTTATGAGAAAATCCTAATCCTAAAGATAACACCAAATAGCAGCTAGGAAAAACAATCATAAAAATAGATCCAAAATAGTACATAACAAATCATATAGGAAAGAAGGAAAAAAGCATAAAGTTAGAAACATTATAATAGATACACTTCAAGTTTAAAATAATTTATAGAAATGCCAAATCGCCCTCTTAACAGAGGTCTGGTCTTGAACAAAACTATGCCTCGCTTACGATAGCATTGGGTCTGCACAGTACTTCCGAGTATGGGACGACTACAATCCAAAGAAGCACTCTTTTTCTTGTGAACACCATGACTAATTCTTCAGTTCGCCAGAACCTCTAGTACTTAACAACTAGAATTATAAAAGAAGAAGAAGACATGAGATTTCGTTTTTCTGTGTGTTTCAAATGATCAGAAGAAGCCCTTTTATAAGGTTCATAGGAGACAAAGATTTGAATTCCAGTTATTACAATGTTTGTAACGTCTGCAATAAAACCTATTCAATCCTTGTAAAGTTTGTAACATACAAAACATTTAGCTAGTTTTAAGTGAGCACGTGCAAAATGTTTAAGCTCGTTTAAAGATAGCACGTGCAAAAAGAGCACGTGCATGCACGAGTGTCGCCCGCACGAGCCCGCTCGTTTGTTCGCACGCTCGCATATATACCAACGCAAGTATATAATACTAACACCTTTGTTATATTATGTATAACACACGCGTTAATTTAAACCAACTAAAATGCATTCAGTTAGCCAATATGGACTAAAATTCACATACTACCTATTAAACACATTTTAATTTTCATCTATAGAATCCAACCATTAAATGATATCTTTTCATAAAAACCCTCTAACATTCATTTATTTCAACAATAGCTTCTCATATAACATCAAATAGTCTAAACTCTTATATAAATACAACAATAACAAAGTGATTATCCTAAATGTTTGAGTCAGCTAGACTCTTATCTAAATGAACTAAAAAATTCCCTCTAACAAATTTATCTAACTAAAAGATTTCTAAAAGATAAAATCTTAACTCTTCTAAGGTCCCGAACAATCTGGTTATTCATGCCATTAGACCAAGAAATCTTGAATCCCATCACCTATTGTCGATAGCATATTTGCATAATCATGTGGGCCCCCTCAAACCATCATATATTTCCTACGAACTGGTTCGAGGTACATTTGTGAGTCGATTCCCTCTAGTACACAAATTGGTTCCCCAAAATTAACGTACCACTTACAAGTATGTGTGATGCAAAGTCAATTTACATACACATGAACAAGGCGCAATGCACTTGCGCAATCGAATGAGCACACTGCACACATAATAAACAAACAAGATAAAGTGATGGTGGGCATCATGGAGGCCTTCGATATAATACACAAAAGTGAAAAGGAGAAGCTCTTGCATGAATAATTTGCAACAGGTACATGTAGGCTGTAAAAGCTGCCTTAACAGCAAAAGGCCTAAGTTCTGCCTGCATACTTGACTCGCCTAGCCCACCCAAGAGCTGGGTTCGCCAGTACAAGCGAAACTCGCCCGCGTACATGACTCGCCAGCACGAGTCAAGCCCATGCGGTCGCCAAGGTTGCCTAAGCATCCAGGCAATCCGCTAAGCAACCGGAAACTCGCATGCACATTAAACTCGCCTGCACATTAAACTCGCCTGCACAAGTCAAGTTTTCTCAAGAGCCAAAGTCGCCTGCATATCCAGGCAATCAGCCATGTGATCGACAAGTGCCAGACTCACCAGAGTACTAGGCGACTGCACTGTCACATACGGGGATGGGCCTTCCCATTCCCCACAACGTGAAGGGAAGGAGTACAACACTCTAAGCCCATCAAGTGACCGCTAAAGTGACCAGTCAGATCCATGCAGTCGCCAAACTCGTCGACATACTTAACTCGCCTGCACGAGTTAGGTTCATTTCATTGCCAAGCTCTCCTGCGCATTTGATTCGCCTGCACGAGTCAAGTTCGTCCAAGTGGTTAAGAGTCACCTGTACGACCAAACAATCAGCCAGGCGATCAGCAAGCTCGCCAAACTCGCTAGAGTACCTAGCGGCTGCACTGTCGCGTACAAGGATGGGCCTTCCCATTCCCTACGATGTGAAAGGAAGGAGCACAGTACTCTGAACCCATCAAATAGCCGCTCACAGTACAAGTGAGAGGCATTGTATCTCTCAACAGTACATGGTTAACTCCCATGATTCAAGGGAGTGACCATGTAGTCCCTTCTCTATTTAAAAGCTTCTCTCGGCCACAGGAAAGAGGTCAATGGCTGGCGATCTGTTGCTCAAGATTAATTGATTAATTCAATCAGTCAGCTGGACCATTAGCTCTCAACTCTCAACGGAGTTGATGACCTACTCTTTGCATTATCTTTACATTGTAACACCTCCTTCTAGCTTCTGGCCTTGATCGCCATCGAACTCGGACTCGAACTCGACCAACACAAGCTTCTACTGCGTACTAAAGCTCCATTGTAACCTCGATCGAATCGTCCAAGGGAAGCAAATTCGGTGCGAGAACCGAGCGAGGCATCCTATCGCTACCAAAGTCCCCACGTTAAACAAGGAGGGCATTCCCTCCATTTCTGTTGTAATTTTAATTCATTAGTTTGTAATAAGCTATTCTTATCAATACAAACAAGATCCCCATTTTGGGAAATCAATTTTTACCCCTACAGAAGATGGCGACAACAGTGGGAGAAACTATTTTCTTAACCGAAATGGTAGTAGCGCAGTTCGACGAGGTTACCGTAGGGACAACCATGGAGTCCCTCGAAATCGAGCTTGACCAAGCCAAGTATGAAGAGTACTTGTCTGCCTCCTCTTCTGGTGGTAACGCGTCCCACAAACGCCACAGAGTCGTGCGTAGAAGCCGACTCCAAATGGTCGAAGCCTCCGCACCTGAGGGCTCTATCCGAGTCATGGCAGGGGAACCTCTTCCCTCCAGATCAACCAAGGCTGAGCCGCCGACCAAAAACACAGGGGAAAGACCGCCAAATGGGTCAGCAAATGACCCTCACAGACCCCAGCTCGGGAAGAGATGGTGGTTCACCTTGGCACAGACCACGCCGTCACGGTCCGCACAGACGCTCCTCTCTCTAGAAGAGCCCGTCAGCAGCGACGACAGGCTCTCGCCCAGCAGGAGGCCCAAACCTTCGTCTTATATGACGGCCTGAATTATTATTCGGGTCTAAAAAATGCAACACGAAGAAGCAACCCTCCCAACGCTGAGGGGCTCACCAAATCAGGCGAACCCTCACATTCAGGTGAACCCTCGCATTCAGCCAAACTTCGCTTTGATCGTAATATCTCCCATTTCAACGGGTCCGGTATTTCCGACCAGCTCGACCACTCAGGTGAGCCGATCAGAATGGACAAGCCCGCCAACTCGGGGGGACTCCGTTTCTCGAGTCACATCCCTGACACAAACAGACCTAGATCAGGCGAGCCTCGTCGAATCTACTCGACGACTAAGCATCGTGAGCGAACGAGTCTTAACAACAAAGGCAAAATGGTAGGCGAAACCTCCCAGACTCGCCTGCATGGACAAAAGGTCGAAGTTCGCCAATAGGCTGGAACACGCCCGAGCGCGATGACCCGCCTGTCAAGGCGAACTCGCCTAACTCCAATGCTCAACCATTCCGTCCAGTGTACACAAGAAGGTCCATCTAAACCTTTTTCATGCAATCACTTGGTTGACCCTTCTGGCGTTGGGGGTCGTCACCAACCACCTGCAGAAGATCACCGGGGTTACCTAACTCACAAACGCGTCATACATGAGGCGGATCCTCAGTGTCACCGTGAAAGGTTTATCCAAGCAGTACTCACTGACTGCCAGTGTGTAGAAACAGCAAGACCTTCGGTGTTCGAAAGGCTTGCTCAACAACCTTCCAGATCGAGATCTTCTTGTCGAAGGCGTAGCCACCAAAGAAGGCGCACCGTTGATGATTTAGAGCTCTCGTCTATTACGGTCAACGTGACGGGGAAGGATAAAACTATACTTCCAGATTCTCCCGACTAGCACTCATTCCTGGGACCCGATCACCCGCTTGTTCAACGTGAGCGGGACAGTATATTCTTGCACACACTCGTAGTCGTACGGGAGTAAACATCCCGCTCGATTATGCCCTCCTAGCGCCCCCTTCCGATGGTGAAGAGTAAGTTTTCTCAGCGGTAGCCACGTCCCAGACCTCACGCTCGAGCCACGGTGAGCTAGCAAGGGTTCACATGGCTGAGACCTCGAGTGATCAGATGATTGCCAAAAAGTTTGAAGAACATTAGGTCGCCATCGAGTCCATAAGAGTTATGTTCGAGCAACTTCTAAACAAAAAGAAGAAAAAGAAGAAAGCCACCCGTACCCCGCGGAAGCCGGCAAGAAACAAGGAGTAGGAACCCACTCCTAACCAGATGACTGAACTGGAAGATAATACCGATTCGTATTCGGATCACTCTTCCAAGATGTCATTAGAGACGCCACGCACCGGGGGCACTATCCGGGACAGGAGATTCGACGAGTTCCAAAACTAACTCAATGCCTTAAAGCTCCAACAAAACATGAACAAACTGGGGGTTGTCAGACCATACCCTATCGAATGGGACATAGACCCTACCCGACAAAGTTCAAGTCCATCAGCTGGGTACAGTTTGATGGCAAGGGCTCCTCCTTATAGCACATATACTACTTTATGGCTCAAACCAGATTCCTCACCGGGAACGACGCCATTCTCACCCGGCTATTCATCGGCACCCTCAAAGGGGTAGCCTTCGAATGGTTCCGTAAGTTGGAACCAGGCTCTATCAAGTCATGGGCTGACATGGAAAGGCTTTTCCTGGCCCGCTTCTTCGATGATGATACAGAGGTGTCAATGGCCACCCTCTTTACTAAGAAGCAAAGGAAGTCGGAGTTAGTCAACGACTTCGTAAAGAGGTTCAGGAATCAATCGGTGCATTGCCGAGACCAAGTCTCTGAAGCTACACTGATCGAGATGTGCTGTAATAACCTTTCGATCCATATTCTGTCCAAAGTTGGTGCGGTAGAAACCCGAACCTGGAAAGAACTCGTTCGCCAGGGTGAACAGGTTGAGAATATGATTAAGAGGCTCGAGGCCGAGGAGCCTCACCCCAAAAAGGGAGCTGCAGAGCCGAGCATGCCTAGGAATCCCCCTCGATCGAGAGGAAAGGAGATCAGGACCGTTGACTCCGCTCCGGCCCCCAAACCAGCCCAAAAGCCAAAACCTAGGCCGTTTGAACAACGTCCCCCGAGGCAATACGACTTCAGGGAAGACCAAGTGGTAGCAACCCTTGACACACTCCTCAAAAGTAGCAGGATTAAGTTATCGGAAGTGACCAAGCCTAAAGAGGCAAACAAGACCAATGACTCGAGCTACTGTGTGTACCACAGGTTCCTTGGACACCATACTTCCAAATGCTATATCCTCAATAATAAGCTTCAAGCCCTATACGACGCAGGGGTTCTAAAAAAGGAGAAGGTACAAAAATAGGTGACCACGAATATGATCACTCTAAGTTTTGGAATGGATCTCCTAGAAGTTCAAGCGCCGGCAGGGGTAATTCCTATTCCTAAGGCAATACTAAAGGTTACTAACAATGATCCTCACAATCAACAAGGAAAAGGTTTAGTGTCGCAGACCTTGCCATTAGGGCAGGTGATGTGAGTCCACTCGGACCTCCTCGGCGATGAGCAATGGGCTTCAAAGCCTTCGAGGAGGACCAAAGGTAAACCTTGCAACACAGTCTCTGCTATCCCAGATGAAACTAGACGGCAGTAGCCGCCCTCACCGATTCTGATGAGGAGGCCGCCATCCTAGCCACTAGAGCGGGCAGGGAATTCGCCAAGAATTACCCTACAAAGGCAGAGGATCCGGCAGGACCTTCCAAGCGACCATCTGCAATGGCCCCTCCAAATCCTGTCGGGCTGAACTTGAGTAGTCAACCCTTTCGGTTCAACATACTCGCGTAATTGAAAAGCATCCCAGCCAGAATCACCATGTACAAACTCCTACGTCTGTCTAGACCTATTCGGGAAGCTCTACAAGAGGCATTGGCCGACTTAGAGGTTTTCGCCACGCACTTCTCATCCACAAGGGAAGAAGACATGGGGAAGAAGTGTTTATAGTGCTATCAGGCCTCCGAACAGCGGGTCCCTTGCATCACATTCACCCTGGAGGACATGCAAATCAAAAGCACTTCTCACGATCGACCCTTGTACTTCACGGGGTACATCGGTTCCTCCAAAGTTGATCGAATCCAAGTTGACCCGGGATCTACGCTGAGCATTATCCCCTTGAAACTTATGCAATAACTGGGGGTCCCCAAGAAGTGTTTTTCTGTGACAACCACGACCATCTTCGGCTTTAACGCCACCGGGACGAGGCCGCTTGGCAAGATCCGCCTAAAGTGCTGTATAGGCGACATGAAGACAGAGGTCACCTGCTATGTCATCGATGCCGAGCCTTCCTATAATATGCTTCTGGGACGACCATGGATCCACAACCACCGCATAGTCCCATCCACATTATATCAATGTCTGAAGTACGTAGACGGTTGCGATCAAGTAAAGACGATGTTCACCGACAAACAACCCTTCAAGGGGGTCGAGAACTACTTCACGGATTCCCTAACCTCGATTCGGATGACCCATCACCGACTGAAGAATCCAAAAGTGGTAATGAAGCAGATAGCGAACCCGAATACGGCGACAGCCTTGTCCTGAACAATTTCGAATCAATTGTAATCGTCTACAAAAGCCACAATGTAACCAACGCTGTTCAGGCGGATGAGATTATCTTGAATGAAAAGTTCAACTTTGTTTACTTGTCATCTTGCCCGACATTTGAGGATGACCTACCCGATGATTCGATGTCTGGGCTGTACTCGTATGTTACGAAGGGACAAGCAATTGAGTCTTCACAGGCTGTATTCTTCATGCCCGCCCAAGATAATTATCAAAAAGATATTATCTTTGGAAGGATTGACCACCCCTTGTGCACGTTGTGGGATGAATTCGAAGAAGAAGAACCTGTACCCTAGTTTTTGTAATACAGTCAAACTGCGAAACGTATGATAAGGAACATGGGCTACGACTTCGCCTGTAAAGAGGGTTTGAACTATGGCAAAGGACGGAAGACGGTTATCCGAGCCGCCTACGTACCTAAGGGAAGACCCTCAAACTACTTCAGCAAGACTCGAAGAGGCTTAGGTTACACCTCCTCCTCATCAGAGTTATACTACAACTTCGACGAGGACTCTGATGACGCCCCCTCGGATAATCAATCATCAACATACTCGGCATGGGACTCAGATGTCAGCGTGGGAGACCTGTTCAAGGACCTCACAGTCAACATGACTATGATGGACCCTACTGAAATAGCAAAGGACGAACAGATCCCGCTTTATGATGAGACATAGGACCACAATACTAATGCTTAATAGAACAGTGGCTTCGAACAGCGCGAACCACCCACTGAGGATAAGGTCCTCCAGGTAAACATGGGTGATGAGGTCAATCCCAAACCCATATTCATTAGTGACAGTTTACCTCCTCAAGAGAAAGAAGACCTTATATCCCTCATACAGGAATATGTTGATGTCTTCGCCTGGAACTATGAGGACAAGCCCGGGCTTGATCCTCGAGTCGCCATGCATCGTCTCAATATCAGCCCAGATGCCAAACCCGTCATACAGCAACAAAGGCGGTTTTGTCCAAAAGTCATGGAGGCCATCGAGGCCAAAGTGAAGAAGCTAATCGAGTCTGGCTTCATCAGGGAGAAACAACATCCTGATTGGGTGGCCAACATTGTTTCAGTCCTGAAGAAGAATGGCAAGATCCGCATCTGCATCGACTTCATAAACCTCAACGCAGCCTGTCCAAAGGACGAATTTCCTCTACGCATCACAGATGTTATCATGATAACACGTGTGGGTTTGAGAGAATGTCCTTTATGGACGGGTTCTCAGGATACAATCAAATCAAAATACACCCCGAGAATGAAAAACACACCTCATTCAGAACTCCAAAAGGGGTGTACTGCTACACAGTCATGCCTTTCGGACTCAAGAATGTCAGTGCAACCTATCAGTGCACCATGAGTACGATCTTTCGGGACGATTTACGCAAAACAATCGAATGCTACATAGACGATCTGGTCGTGAAAAGTCATAGCAAAGACGCCACCTTCAAGATCTGAGAGTAATGTTCAAACTCATGCGATCTCATCAACTCAAGATAAATCCTACGAAATCATTCTTAGGGATGTCTAGCGAAAAATTCCTTGGATTCGTCATCATGACGAAAGGAATTCATATCAACCCCGATAAGGTGCGAGCTATCCAAGAGCTGTAGCCGCCCCGGAATCTCAAAGAATTAAAGGGTCTCCAGGTCGCTTGGCTTATATCTGCAGGTTCATATCGAATCTTTCGGATAAATGCCAACCCTTCTCCAAATTAATGAAGAAAGGCGTATCCTTCGTATGGGACGAACCCTGCCAACAAACATTCAACGAGATCAAAGCTTATCTCTCCAACTCGCCCGTCTGTAGACGGTAAAAAAATACCTCTGATGAGCCTACAGGAAATTCGCCCACAAGAAGTCGCCTGCCTAAGCCGCACGTCGTCAAACGTGCTCGGTTCCAGATTCGCCTAATGATCGGCTCGCCTGCACGAGATAAGATCGGTTAGGAAAGCGGAAGTTCGCCTCTTACGCGACTCGCCTGCCCGAGTCCAAAGACGAATCCGCCTGCAATCTCAAGGCCATTAGTACAGCTGGGGTATCCGCTACCCCACGTGCTGGGATGGGCCATCCCATCTCTCTCGACCCGAAGGGAGAGGGCACAGTACCCTCAGACCGTCAAGCGGCCGCTCACAGTACGAAGGCCTGGACAGGTGTCGAGTCAACCTGAGCATTCATAAATGCGACTCACCTCGGCTGTCTGAGTCAAGAGCTGGATCCGCCGGCGCTCGGCAAGTTGGCTAGACCCACTCAAGTACTGTGCACCTACTTCACCGCCTCTCCTGACCGGAAAGGAGAAAGCACTGTGCTCAAAGCACGTCGGACGGTCACGCACAGTACGAGTGATCAGACAGACGCCTCATCACTTTGCAAACTCATAAATGCGGTTCATTAATGCTGGTCAGGTCCACTCGGATAGCAGACGGCCGTTGCCTCATATACAAGGATGGGCCTTCCCATTTTAGGTGACAGGACATAAAGCACAATCCCTCGAATGACCATTCATGGTATCGAGGAGCAGCTAGACGTCTCTGAAGAAGATGTGGTCACATCCCATAATTCAAGGATGAGTCAAGCTGTCCTTCTTCCATTTAAAAGCCCCTTCCAGCACACTAGAGAAGAGGTCGCAAAACTTAAAAAAAGTAATTGAGACCAAGCTGTTAGCAGATCCTTGCATTACAGCACCACTGCCTAGTTCTGAGCTCCGATCGCCGGCGAACTAAGCAGACCCGAACTCCATCGATTCGAGCTTCTACTGCGAACTGAAGCTCTCCAGCAACCTCGATCGAACGGTCCAAGGGAAGTCGACACGAGCATCGAGCGAAGTGTCCTATAGCCACCTAAAGTCCCCACACAAAACAAAGAGGGCATTCCCTCTGCTTCTGTTGTAAACATTTGATTTGTTAGTTTGTAATAAGCCTTCTTATCAATACAAACGAAACTCCCTATTTCCGGGAAATCAAATTTTCACCCTACAGAAGATGGCGACTACAGTGGGAGAAGCTGTTTCATCGAGTGAAATGGTGGTGGCTCAGTTTGATGAGGTTGCTGTCGGGACGACAGTGGAGTCCCTAGAAATCGAGTTCGACCAGGCCAAGTACGAAGAGTACTTATCCTCCTCCTCCTCTGGTGGCGAGGCGTCCCGCAAACGCCACAGAGTCGTGCGCCGAGGCCGACCTCAGACGGTCAAACGCCACAGAGTCGTGCGCCGAGGCCGACCTCAGACGGTCAAAGCCTCTGCACCTGAGGGATCCACCCGAGTCTCGTCGGGGGAACCCGCTCCCTCGCAATCGATCAACGCCAAGCCGGAGATCGAGCGCAAATGGCTAGGGTCTGCCAAATGGGTCGCCAAGCGATCCCCACAGACACCTACCCCGAAGGGAACGCCGGTTCGCTCCGGCACAAACCACACTGCCACAGCTCGCGGTGACGTTCTCCCCGCTGGGAGAACTAACCAACAGCGGCGGCAAGAGCTCGTCAGACAGG